GTGGGGGGGGGGGGGGCTACAATTAATGTTTCCTTCCATTTTCACCGACACAAAGCAATAATATAATGGCATTTCCATTTCCTAGTCTGTTAGGTTTTCCGTCATTTAAAAGTAAAGGAACATTTGTGACCGAAGCCGGGATTATCGATTATAAATGAAAGATGGTCACGTTTCCCTTTGTCATCCGCAGTGACGTTGAAATGAACCACATGCTCTAAAATTGCTTGAACAGCACCACATGCATCTCTCTTCCCCAGGATGCTCAGTGCCTGGTTGTTGTTCCTCAGACATAAATAATGAACTTAGCACATGGATTTTTTATTAGATTTCTGGCTTCCTATTGAGCATGTTGATGCTGAGAGATATGCATTTCGTTCTGTCCTGACAATTATCACCATGTCATTCCAACTTTATTTATGGAATGAATATGTGCTTCGCATATATGCAGCTTCCTGTTGTTCCTGTTTTGTTTTGCGTTCTATTCTATTCTGTTTTGTTTTGTTTGTTTTTTTTGGTAGTGAATCTGAAATTTGCACAGGTCACATTTCACATCAAAATCTAAAGGAAAAAAAATAGAACTATTACAATTTATTTTATTTTTGTCAGTTATGATTCTCATTACATTTCATTATTGTAATATAGTAAATTTTAATGTACACATTTTTTTTTTTTAATTAGACATTGAAATTTTTTTCCCACAAGTAGGCATATTCTCTTCCTCTCATTCATTCATTCATTCATTCATTCGTGCGTTCGTTTGTTTATGTTAAAGGTGATTATAATTACATTTTAATTTTAGTAATATTTTATTTGTAATATATTATTTTATTGTATTACATTTTTTAATTAGACTTATATTTACATCAGCATTTTTATTTACATTGGCACGCATCAAAGGCTGTACAACAAATACTACCACTTAGCACTTTCAATTATTTTTTTTTTGTATTTTTTTTATTACGGTATTGAGAATTGTATTGTAAATATAACAATGAAAAAAGTATGTTATGTTACAAAAATAGGTTTAATTTTCTATAGTTAACTATATTTCTTAAATTAAATTTATTTTATTTTATTTTGTGAAATATGAATATCCTTGACAGCTATGTAATTCACCTAATTGTTGATTATGTAAGATTATTTTCTAGAGTCAGTCCTCCTAGCAGAGATCCATTCTTTTTTTCTGTCTCTTGTCTCCAGGCATTACTGTGGATAAGTATGGCGTGATCTTCTTTGTAGACAGCACCATGATCCGCCGCATCGATCAGAACGGTATCATATCCACCCTGCTGGGCTTCAACGACTTGACCTCGGCACGACCCCTGAGCTGTGATTCAGTGATGGACATCTCGCAGGTGGGCAGCCTTCTTGTGTTCCCTCTGTGGCTTTCTCACCCATCAAGCCTCTTATAAAAGCCAGTTTATGGCAGGATTTGTGAAAGGCCAGCAGAAGTATACTAGAGGTGTAAGAAAATATAGATACACCTGAGTATCGCGATATTTTGTTTGGCGATACTGTATCGATTTAAAAAAAAATCATACAAGATTCATGGCAGTTGTTTCATTTTGAGTTTATATCCCGACCGCTAGATAGCAGTCTTCACCTCTGAACTTAAACAGTGACAAGAAATACTAGCATTAGGGCACGCCACTAATGTTAGCATTAATATAGTTCGCTGCTAGTAATGGAGGATGAAAGAATTGTTCCAGTTCCTGTTTCGGTGTACAAAGCTGAAGTGTGGCGTCATTTGGGCTTTTAACGTCCACCCCGGGACCGTGGCGTGGGCGCCGCCTCGGTTCCGCCATTTGCCGCGTCCCGTGTGAAGAGCCTTCAGAGCTGCAGCTTTCTCTCGTGGTGGGGGTGTTTTGTGCAGTTGGGGCAGCGCTCGTGTCGCAGTCTCGGCGATTCCACGCGGAACATAAATACAAACTGAAAAACCTGTGAAATCCAAGTTGAAAGGTTCTGAGAATGTTCAACATCTGTGTAACAAAGTTCGTAGTTCGGGAAGAAGGAGGCGGGAACCGGCGAACATTTAAAGACTTTAATAAAATAAACAGACACAAAATGAAAGTAAAGAGGCAGCCCCTCGCGGACGACTGCCGCACACAAAACACAAAATAAAGTCCAGGCCTGGTCCT